AAAAGTCTATGCAAACAGTTATTTCCCCAAAGAGTTACTAAGTCATATATTTATTAAAATTTGCGGGGTTAAATCTTAAGGGAGGTTTCAGTCTTACAATGTAATTTAGATAGGCCAAGGAACAAATGAGTGTGTAACGTAGGCTTCAGCCATCAAATTGTTTGAGTGGAGTCGGGGGAGACCTACCCATGAGGCCTTCAAGCCACATACTTGAGGCCCTTGATGATTGACTTAGTTGTTACTGTGAATTTCTCCTTGTTTAGTAAATAATGGAATCGTATTTAGAAAAGATTTTAAGAAGCCTATCTAGTCTGCTAATTTTGCAGATGAGGGATTCCAAGCCAAGGAAAAAGGGCTGGTGAGTCTAAGAGCTGTGGTGAGGACTTCTAGGACAGTGCCCTTGTCACATCAGCACAAGGAACCCTGTGGAGAGGATCACAGGATGCTTATTTTGTGAAGAAGCAACAGATTGAGAGTACCATCATGGCCGAGTCAGTTGAACATTTTCCCTCCCCTCCTAGACTCTTGATTTTATTAATAATGTCTATTAAAAAGTATTTTCTAAATTTATGCTATTATTTTTATTCCATTAGTAAGAAGACAACATAGTGTAGACCTGAGAACACATATTTTGTTCCCTTGTGTTGAATTATTTATAAATAGGAGAGAAAATAAATTAGTGGGTTTATTAGGCATGTTGGTATTTTCCCAATTAGCTCCACCATATTTAGTCTCAAAATTGGGTAAAATAGTATTCATCTATCAACTTGTTGGTATGTGGAGGGAATGCTATAGTGTAGAGCTCTCATGGGCTATAGTGACAAGACCGGGGTTCAGGTTTTGAATATGACAGTTAGTGCTTTTGGTAAGGTACTTAACCCTTCCAGACTTCACTTTCCTCCTGGGACAGCAGGACTGACATTAACTTTAGGACTATTATGACAGCTAAATTAGGAAATAAACATAAGTCCTTAGCACAGATCTTTAAACAAATATTGAGATGGTATTATGTGCCTAGAAGTGGCATACAGGGTACACTGTACACTTTCTCCATTATCGGGCAGTCTACTGGGCGACAAACAAAACCAATCAATAAACTGATATGCAATCACATAAGAGAAGTACTGAGTGCTGGCAAGACATGGACACCCCGCCCTCCAAATCAACCTGTTTCAGAAACATCAGAGAAAGCTTGCCTGATGAAATGAAGTTAAAACACTACCCGAAGGATGAAAAGTTTGCTTCCGAGGGGCAGAGAACACACACTTGTGGAGTGATATGTGCAAAGGCCCTAGCGGGGAAGGAACATAGCTTGTTTTAGGAACTGGAGAGTATAAATGGAGGGAGAGATGGTACAGTATAAGCCTGAAGAAAGAGCAGAACTAGATCAGGTAGGGCCTTGTTCGGTGTTTTGACCTCTGTCCTAAGTAGTGAGAAGCTGTCAGGAGGTCATAGCTAAGGGAGTGATATAAACTGATGAGCCATTCAGGAAGATCACTTGGGCTGTTGTGTGGAGATGATTGAGGAGGCTGACAAGTGATGCAAAGCGTTTATATATTGGGTTGTCGGAAAAGTGATGACACGTTTTTGCAGCAAAAAATGTAGAAAACATACATCATGACTTCTCCAACAGCCCAATAGTTAGGAGGCTCCTGCAGTTGTCCAGGTGCTGAAGGTGGTGGCTTGGCTGGGGTCGTGCAGGGAGGACCCAGAGCAGTGGACATGCCTGAGAACTGTTTAGCAGATGGAATTGAAAGACTATGGTGACTGGGTTTGGGAGAGAAGGAAAGGAAGTGCTAAGGACCGCTACAAATATTTAGTCTATTGAAGTCCTCCGTAAATGCTTGTTTTTGACTGCTACTACAGCAGCTCTTGTTTTTACCAGTGCTTTTATAACACATCAGAGCTTGAGGACGCACATGACCTTGACTGGGAGAAAGCATCCAGCAGTCCTTTGGTGACTGTGAGTGTTCTGGCATTTTAGCTTTATTTATTTTTAAAAAAGAAAACACTTTATAGCACTGAGTGCCATCTATTCTCATTTACAGATGAGGAAACTGAGGCACAGAGGAATTAAGTAACTCGCTCCAAGGCAAACAATTAACAATGGTAGAGCCAGAATTTGACCCCAGGCATTCTCCCTGTAAGACCCCCATGCTATCTGGTGGCTTTTATTCCTCAAAACAGCCCTATAAGGCTGGACTTTGGTATCCCTACTAAATATTAATTTCCCTTCTTGGCCTCATCTGACCCAATGTAAAGGAATAAAATGTAGTTGATCTGCTAGTCACCCTTCTCGATTGCCCTTCTGGTGAACTGAAAGTATGTCTTTAAATTTTAATTCATTTTAATCCTTGTAAACATTTAGAATGACTGAAATAGAAAAACAATTTCTTTTCCATGAGTAGTCCATTTTCTTACACTCTGGGCTGATTATCTAGGCTTTGTCCTCTGAACATGAATTACCACAGCTTTATTGTAAAAATAATATGAAGACAGCACAATGCAAGAACGTGTATACCTTTGCCATATAAATCTAGCCACACAATGTTCTATTTGGAGAGAAAACATTTATGAGTATTCTGCAGAAACATTTATATGCCTATAAATAACATTGCTGGGTTACTTTACTTAGCATGGACTTTTGAGGACATTTTTGTATTCAATTTATTATGAAATCTGTGCAGGGATTAAAGACAGTCACAGTGATATAATCTGCCTGTTGGAATAATACATTTCAAAAGTTGTATTTTGCATAAGGGTGTGGCAATTTCTGGAAGGATATTACTTCCCTTTGGGTGTCTGCATATTGTCAGCTTTTACGAATCAAAGCAGATGAAACATTGCTGGTGTGTTTCATGACTTGTTTCTTTTTCAGGGTTGGGGCCTGTCCCATTTTTCTGGAAAATCCTTACTGGAGTTGTCCTGAACAGAACCACAAATAGACTGTTCAGCATTTGCATAGGTCTTTTCATCCTCAGGATTTCACAATCGTTGCCTTTTAATCCATATACACCCCTCTGAGATAGGTAGATACGTTCAAGCATCCAAGTCTCCCGCAGGCGAATCTCAGTGCCAGCAGGAGCATTGTGATTGGCACTGGCTTTCCTGAATTCCCCAGAGGCCAAACACCTGGAGAGGCTTACCTGCAGGCCCAGGTATATGCCAGTGTTTCAGCCCCATGGGGCAGCTTCCTCATTCCTGCATGCATCGTTAACCATAATGCTATGCCCACTGTGTCAACCTGCAGTAAAGCCACACAGGAATGGTATATTTGGGGAGATTCTTAGAGAACCCAATGACTATTTACATTCTGTACAGCAAATTTCAGCTATTCCCGTTTCCATCACTCCAACAAAGGTACTTTTCATCCAGTGGTAACATTGACAGCTCCATCTAAGTTCTTAGATTAATAAATGAGCACCCAGGGTTTCTATCGTACAAGTCTGTAATCAGGCTTGTAGAAGATATGCATACCTAATGATTAAATCTTCAACAATAAAATATCAATTGAAATATAATGCCAGCAATCATATTGCATGCGTATTTGCTGTACCAAGCACTGTGGTAAACATAATGCATACATTATCTGATCCTTACAACAACTCTGAGGTAGATACTATCATTCCCAGTCTACAAATGGTGAAAGACTGGGCTAGGAGGTTGCCCAGTCACAAGACTTATTTAAACATAGTTCTGCCTGACTCAAGTCACTTTTTAACAATTACGTGATATTCACTACCTTAAGTGGAAGGTAATACGTAGGATCTTAAAGCGCTAGGAAAATATACAACAAAGGAGTGGTAATAATAAGGTGGAATATAAAAAGGCACATATTGATTTTCTTTTTCATAAAGTAAAGCAGAACCATGTAACAGAATTGTTCTTATCCACATCATGCTTTATATCTTTTTACCTTTCTAAGCACTTAATGTAACTTGCTTCAAATGAAAAGTATTCCTATGTCTTCTCTTTTGCTCTGTTGACCATTTCTTGAAAAGGGGACTGTATTGAATTTATCTTGTAATTGTACATATTAAATAATGCTTAAAATCTTAAATTGGTGCTCAGAAAATTACTGAATACATTCACTTTTAAAAATTAGTAGGGCTTTTAGCTGAAAAAGAAGTACTTGTAAATGGTGGAACGTTCAAAGAAGACAAAAGAATCTCGTATTTAAGATCCCCAGATTCCCAGCTCTTCTAAGAGTCTTTACAAGTTCCAGTTGCTTGTGGATCCTTTTAGAAATATTTAGTGTGTATATTGTTTTCATGTGTGCATGTATGCCTTTATACGCACACTCACATGTATTACAACTGAATTGATTGACTTTGCAACATATGTGAGTGTTCATATAGCTATACACAGGCACACATGCACCCATCAGGGTAAATCCTAAGTGCATAGTTCATTATAAAACTATACTCTGAATATTTTATAATAGAAATCACTTGTTACATACATTATAAAATAATTGCCTATGCATAAATGGATAATTATGATAGTGCTTTTAAAAAAAAATGTATGTATGACATTAAATATGTCCTTAAAAGGAAACACTAACATAAATACTGTGTAAATCTAATATAAGATGATTAGAATTTAGGTACCTTAATCTCTAGGGTTGCTGAGTTACATGTGAGAGAAAATTAACTTTAGGAATTAGATGCAAAGGTCCCAGTAGATTTAATATTTTCTTTGAAGTTTCTCTATACTTTCAAGTGTCTTTCTTATAATTAATAAAATTTACAAAGTGACATATATTAATTAAAGAATAAGGCAGTATTTTTAAGGAAAGAGTTATATTTTGCTGTAATACACAACCATGTTTTGGAAAATGGTAGAAGATAATAATCAGGTTATCTATTGTCTTGGTAACTATGTGTTTCTAGTATAAATATGATGTCTGAAAAGTAATTCCTAATCTGCCTAACAAAAAAGATTTGAGCATCTGCATTTTTAAAAGTTGTTGCTAATTCATTTTTTTTTTCTAATTTTAGGTTTTAGTATAAAAGCAGTGCCATTCCAGAATGCCATCTTGAATGTAAAAGAACTTGGAGGTATAACATTTTAAATCATTTCTATGTATACCTTTAACTTTTAATTTGGTATTAATGTGTTACGTATAATTAAAACAATGATTTATTATTGTAGTAGGTGATTCATTTTTACCTTTTCTCTTGATAATATATTTCTTAGAAATAGTTCCTCTTCTTTACAAGAGTATGTGTTTTAAAAGTTGTTGAAGAGTTGTAAGAAATGTAAACTTTGTTTTCTTCTGTATGATTTAAAGACCTATACTACTAGTGCCATTTCATACGCTATACTCTTTGGTTTTACTTGTTCAAAAATTTATTCTTGAATAAAAAATATCAAGAGAATTTAACATAATCATAGAAAAATAAGCTATACACCATGCAGAGCAAAGACCCATATCTTAGAGAGGTTTTTATTTATCCTGCGGGTTTTATTGTATCAAATCTTTGTAGAATGTATTTGTTCTGATAATAAATCTTTGCCAATGGGTTCTTTGCTGGTTAAGCACATTTATTGGATAGGCTGTACCCCAAACTATACATCACTCAGTCTTTCATTACACTCACTGTCTGGGAATTTTTTATTGTGTTTTATGTCAGTCAGGGTCTTAACCCATGTAAATAGGTTAACAAAGAAATCAGTCAATTCAGTGAACCTACTAAATTCCGAATCGCACAGGAAAATGGTAAGTGCTCTGGAGTTCAGTATAATATTGGTGAGTTTAATGACTTAGAAGAAAGTTCTCTTCTCTCTGTAGTTACTTTGTGATATTGACCATACCCTCTTGTTTTGTTTTAAAAGCTCATTTGAACTGTGACCTTTTTTAACTTGATGAAATTGAAATTTAAACTTTTTTCCATTTTAATAGTGTTTGATGCCTTCTTATTTTTAACTCATAATGTATTAGCTGATCTTTTCATGTGTTTATTTTAGAGAGCTATATCTAGGACAACTACTTCTGTCAGTCTGTTTTATAGCTACCTTTGACTTTTATGGCATTAATATTAAAAATCAGCCATGGCTGATAAATTCTGATTTTTCCTTTAAGACATTTGGTTTTGTCATTTTGACTACAAAAATCACAAAACATGAATGTTCTTGTAATAGAATAATTTTCCCATGTAAAGTTTTTAAAAGACTATGTTCCTTTAAGTTGAATATTACCTTGTGATTTCTGGTGACTCTCGTTTCTCGGTGACCAAAGTATTATAGCTGGAGAACATATTGTAAAAGTCCGTGGAATCAAAATGTATGAATTGAGAATTCTACTGGTTTTAAACATGGTTGATACTTTGTTGAACACCCTCCAGGTGTAAGAAACTTGATTAATTGACAAGGCATTTATTATAGATGTTTAATTGGGTGATATAAATAGTGAATGTATCTGGATAATTTTTAAAAAATGAACACAAGGGATTTTTATAGCCTTGACTTCGTGCCATTGAAATTCAGCACAGCAGGTCCTCACATAACATAGTTTTGTTTAGTGTTGGTGTGTTATAATGTTGATGAGACGTTATAGGAACTTAACTCTTATATCAATTAACCTGTGGTAAAATTGTCTTCATTGTGCATTATTCCGCTGCAGTTCTAAGAACCTATTGACAATGTTAATAGGACTTCCTATACAATAAAAGACCACATTAGAGGACGGGTATATAAGGTGGGCATCTGCCTTCTTTTGCTGAAAAAACTGCCCTGACAGTTGCTGAAATAGAGAGGATACCCTAGCGTTTGGTGGTAATGTTTTAGTTCATGCCTATTCTGTGATGACGTATAGGAAAAAAATATAGCTTCAGGGATTGGGACAAGTACTTTAGTTCCAAGCTAAAGACATGTAGTGTTTGACATGTGGTATTATATCCCCTTAATTTTAATAGATGTTTTCAGTTGAGCGACTGTCTCAGGAGAATGTGATTTTCTGAGTACAATCAAATTATGTATCCTGTGTCACATGTTCAGATGCAAGCAATAGGAGGCGTTCACTCACTGATGGTTCATTCACTAATTCCTTTATTTAACAAATATTTTTTGAGGGCCTACTCTGCCTGGAATAGGACTGGGCACTAGGTTGTGTCTCACCTAAGAATGCATGTAAAGAAGGCTAACACAAGTAGAGAATACCTTTTCTAGGATTTAAAGTATTATCTTCCATACAAAGGCGCTCCTCCCGATATAAGGTGGGTGACATTTAGTGAGAATTATGAGCTACTGAAATCAAGTTGTTTGAGAGGAGATTGGTTGACTGGGAATTTCGAAGTTCAGGAGGAAAGAGTGTTTCAGGATCAGTCTGTGAAGCTATGAAACCTTTATTCACCAATAGAGGGTTGCTCAGAAGACAGGTTTAATCAGAGTTCAGTTGGGTTGTCAATCCAGGGGAAATTTCTGAAATCAAGCGAGGAGCTCACGCTGATGGGTGTAAAGATAGCAGATACTGAGAGCCACACCACTGCTAATGTGCAGAATGCGCAGATAGTTCGGCTTGTGCTCAATTCAGGAGGCCTGCTCCTTCCGGCTAACTCCATACTTTACCCCTTTGGGATAATTCCAAGGCTCTCCATTATCCTCGATCTCAACCTTAAGTTTAATTTCTCACTTCTTCAAAATAGGGACAGGTATGAACTTATGCTCCTCATCTAGAAAGAAGAAATGGCATGGAATAAAATAACAGTGACCAATAGACTTATAATAAACTTTATGTTTGTACACATAACCGATATATATATATATATATATATATATATATATATATATATATATATATTTACTTTCCTGCATCTCTATTTACTTATGTGTAAAATGTAGTAATAATAGTTCCTACATCATATAATCCTTGTGAGGACTAAATTAGTTAATGTTAGGTAAAGTACTTAGAGAGATCATCTGGCCCATAGCTAACATTTTTTGAAGATTTGCTTTTATTATAATTAGAGCCTCACCCTCAACCCCCCACAAAGAAACCTTTCAATAAAGCCTTTATCCCAAGGTCTTTAAAAATAACACAAATCACATATTGATTGCTTTTTTTCTTTTGGTCCTGCCACTCTCCCGCGTAGACAAGGGATGTTTTTCTTCATTACGTTATACCTGTTGAAGCTGAAACGTCACTGGAAAGGAAGTCTTCTGGTTAGCTGCCTAGCATGCTTTTTGGCACTGCACATGCATTAATATTAAATGTTTTTGTCCCTCTCCTTACCACCTTTCCTTCTATTTTCAGATTCCACCTGAAAAATCTCTTCCGTCTCCCATAGTGCTTTCGTTCTGTTTGGCTTATGTATTTTAACCACATTACTAAGGCAAGTGAAGCATCTGGCATTTAGCTGAGTTGAAAGCAGTGGTCACACAGCCGCGGTATCACAGCTCTGACCATTTGTCATTTTAGAAATTTCCAGTCCTTAAATCTACAAACAGATTTTTATGCTACATAGATGTTTTTCTCTTGATTTTGAAATTTAATTTGTAAATTTGATCGACTCCAGAGAGGAAAATTTCATTTAACACATTTGGTTTGTTACTGTTTCTTGATAAGGATCCAGACATCATAATATTCTTTTTCTTTCCCTAATTGAATTTTGGAAGCATGGTTGGTTTTATCAAATGACTTGTTTTCTTCCTCTAATAATCTAATGGTTATGTCTGACTTGTCCTTTCGTCATTTCCCTCCCCTCCCCCTTTCATCCCAACCACCATCCCCACCCAATACACTCTGGCAATCCTGTCTTCCCAGTTGTCACTGGGAAAAGCAAAGAGAAGCTCAGAAGTAGTTAGCTGTCTTTTAGGCCTCAGCATTCATTGTTGCTAGTTGTCAATGAAAGGGAAAGTTCATGAAGATTTTTGTTTGTGCTTTTTTTTTTTGTTTTTCTCTCAAGAGAGGTCAACTTTTCTTTTTCGGAAGGCGCTGAGGGTAGTGTGGAAAGTACAAGTTGTGTTCATTTACCATTTACTTCAGCCCATGCAAATAGTGATTGAATGATTTTTGAGGATTGTCAGCTAAGCCATTTTTTTAAAGGTTGCTTCTTTCAGCAGCCAAGCTGTTATATGAAACAGATGTTGATTCTGTCCTGTTTCTTTGTTTGCCTGGAGGAATAGGCCTCCTCCTAGTGAAAGGTGCTGTTTCTTTGTATCCTGCTAGTTATTTTCGGGTGCTGTTAATCTGTCCAGGTTATTTGCATTTCTTAATTTCTCCAGAAACTGTACAGGGCAAACTTCTTAACAGGCAACCTGGGGGGGCACTGCCGCCTGCTTCTTTTAATTTCTGCTTTTTGTACCCAGGCCATTTGATGTCTTTCATGAAAAGAAAGCTTTCTTCCTTCAGTCTTTTATTAAAACTGATTTCAGAGGGAAGAATCGCGCTTTAATTTTCATCTGATTCGTTTTCACAGTTCTATGTATATTATGAGTATTCCTTCCATATCCCAACTACCATCTCCTCTTAAAAAAATAATCCAAGTGTTACAGCTCTTTTAGAATTTGTCTAGTAAGTTTTCTGGCTCTCACTGGAAGACCCCCAATGCATATAAAAATAAATAAAATTATCCAACTAAATACCTATGAATTTAATGGACTCACTGGCTCTGAGAGTCATGCTATACAGCAAAGACAGAAGAGGAATCAACCCAATAAATGGGTTGTACATTTGAAAAACAGTATGAGCAGACAGATTTGAAGAGGTTATTATGGCCACATTACTTTGGGGACAACTGGAGTTGCCTGGATTGCTTGCCTGGTATAGGAGAAAGCAACTTGCCGTTCAAAAACTGTTTTGGACATCTCCAAACATGGGTTTCTATGGGAGACGTGACAAGAAACCATGTTCCTGGCAAAGAAACATGACATGACAGCGCAGAGCGGGGGCCCATGTGAGGCAGGTCCACAGAATTCCTTCTGACCTTGCTATAAGCTGAATTGCAGTCAGCCACACACAAGTAAGTGTGCATATTCTGCATTTGTTGTAGAATTACAAGGAAAAATGTGGTTTAGCAAGTAGAGTGCAGCCTCAAGACACTCTGTCCCTCTCTGCATT